ATACTCTTCAATGTCTTCATCAGTGACTTGGATGAGGGAGTGAAGTGTACTCTGTCCAAGTTTGCGGATAATACAAAACTGCGGGGAGATGTGGACACACCGGAGGGCAGGGAACAACTACAGGCAGACCTGGACAGGCTGGACAAATGGGCAGAAAACAACAGAATGCAATTTAACAAGGAGAAATGCAAAGTGCTGCACCTAGGGAGAGAAACTGTCCAGCACACCTACTGCCTAGGAAATGACCTGCTTGGTAGCACGGAAGCAGAAAGGGAACTTGGAGTCATCAGTGTGATGAAGTCATCAGAAAAGCTAACTGCACTTTATCATGCATCAGCAGATGCATGACGAACAGAACCAAGAAGGTGATACTTCCCCTCTATCGGGCACTGGTCAGACCGCAGTTGGAATACTGCGTGCAGTTTTGGGCGCCACACTTCAAGGGGGATGTGGATAACCTGGAGAGAGTCCAGAGAAGGGCCACTCATATGGTTAAGGGCTTGCAGGCCAAGCCCTACAAGGAGAGACTAGGGCACCTGGCCCTCTTCAGCCTCCGCCAGAGAAGGTTGAGAGGCGACCTTGTGGCTGCCTATAAATTCATCATGGGGGTGCAGAGGGGAATTGGTGAGGCTCTACTCACCAAGGCTTCCCTGGGGGTCACAAGAAATAATGGCCATAAGCTAGCAGAGAGCAGATTTAGACTGGACATTAGGAGGAACTTCTTCACAGTTAGATTGGCCAAAATCTGGAATGGGCTCCCAAGGGAGGTGGTCCTCTCCCCTACCCTGGGGGTCTTCAAGAGGAGGTTGGAAGGGCATCTGGCTAGAGTCGTCTGAACCCAGCCCTCTTTCCTGCCTATGCAGGGGGTAAGACTTGATGATCTATTGAGATCCCTTCTGACCCTAACATCTATGAATCTATGAATTCCTGATGGGCAGTTGGCTAGTTCAACATAAAAGTCTTAACTTTAAAAATACTAACAAATATGAAAGAAACTATAGCAAGAAAATTAGAGTATCAATTTAAGCATTCAATTACAGGTCTGAAAAATACATACTACACAAGATTCCAAATATTTATGTGTGTTGATAAGTGCGTAAAAGGAAATTTGCACGCTATACTAAATGCATCAGCATATATTTCATTAGTTACAAATTCAAATGAACTGATTTAGACACTAGCACTGGATATCTGAATGAGAATGATGATCAAAGTGTTTTATTGTTATTTTCTCTTTCAAAACCAAGAAAATTAAATGCAAGAATGACATTAACACAATGTTGAGATTTTAAATGCAGATGTGTCAAGATACTCAAAAGTATAGTTTCCACAGCAACCAAAAAATCATCCATATTGCATGCAAAATATATGAAGATAGTAGTAGTTGTATACATAATTGCAAAATACTTCACGTATGCAAGGAAGGTAAATTATAGTGTATATAAGAATAATAAAATTGAACTACCAGATTAAAAATCTTAGCAAGGACCTATTTTGTATTAATAACAATCTTAAATTGAAATAGTATAAAATAAAACATTGTATGTTTTGTTTTTATACTGTAAAAATAAGAGACACTGACACTTAACCTATTTTGTTTCCTCTGTTTTTATGGGATTGTCATAAACTAAGAGGTAATATTTAAAGGCTCTAAAAAATAATCATCTTGTGTTAAAGTCCTAATAAATTAACTTCTTAAAAATGCTTATGGTAATTTTTAGCATGTTCTATAAAGAATTCTGAATATAAGTGATCTTTTTGTATGTATAAAGAAAGATGTTTATTTCCACTTGGATAAGAACTCAACATTTAAAGTATCTTAATAATTTGATGGCATCCTTGTTTTTGATACTGCATTATATATGTGTAAATATAAAACTAAGTTTGGCATAAATGTACCATAGCAAGTCATTCTTAGAAGACCTGATAAATCAAATACATTTGAGACATGCATATGTATATCATATCCAGTCATACAAATTTTGCAAAGTATATAAGATTTATTTTGACATACCTAAACAACATGAATAATTCAAGCAATAAGCGCAAATATCAGGCAACAGAGCAGAGTATATATTAAAGAATATATATTTGCTCCACAGGAAAATATCATGGCCTAACAGAAAGGAATACTCAAGTCAAACTGGTTGAACAGCCAAATCAACCCACAAACATAAGCAACGTGGGCATTCAGACAACTGCTTTGAATTAGTGAAACCACACCACTTTAACATGATCTGCTACAGTCATTGTTTGTCTAAAATTCCCCTCTCAGCTTCCTCAGGAAGTTGTTAAGGGCTGATGCAAAGGTCTATCTTATGGAGAAGTAGTATAGATAGTGTGTCTGTGTACAACTTTTTATTATGATTAATGTACATAAAAAGCTGACACACATGAGCATGTGCTTGAACAGAAGGTATTTATTTGCGTTTTTCTGTATTACGAGGATATCTTTATAGTATTTATAATTAAAGAATTTTAGGTAAGTGAAAGTAATAGGGCTATTTAAATAACAAGTCACAAAGTACTTGATTTAACCAACTGATTCAAAATAAATAATATCTCGTTCTGTGAGTAAGGCCACTGAAATTAGTGGAAGAATCTGGTAGGAAATGCAACTGAAAAAGGTGAAATTTTACTGACCTTGTAACTTAGCTTCAATTCCAACTCTGTCTAATCCAGGTGAAAAACCTCAAGAAAAAACAAATGGCATTTTAAACTAACATATTCTTGCATTTAATTCTCAGTAACACTGGCATGTGGGAAAGAGGTATAACTGGAATCTGCAGAATGTGTTCCCTGTGTTTTGGGCATAAGACATGCACAGCAAAGCTGCAGTATTTTTACTGCCATCAAGGTTTCTTGAGCTTGTGTAGGAAAAGTAAAACTTTCCTTTTTCGTGACTAGCACCACAATAGCGAAGATACATGACACATTTTTAAATACAATACATTAAATTAAGCAGCCTAGAACAGACCGCACAAACTCTTTGTACTGACCATAAGGAAACCTTCCATAGCAAAATATTGTAGGCCACACGCAGACATGTTTCTACAGAGAAAATAGTCACTCTCCCAATAGAAACTAGGTGCATACAAGCACTCATTCCATTTCTTCCACAGGAAACATACTTTCTCCAGGAGAAAGATGTAGGTCAGGGATTCTTAAAATCTAATCCGTGAGTCAGATCCTGCCCCAGCACTGGGTTATCTGGCCTGAAGGGCTCCCTGCAGGCTTGATCCAGGTGTGCAGGGAGAGTGGGATCTGATCCAGGTATGCAGGGTCTGATCTAATCCACAGACCAGCCCTGTCCCATTCATTTGGCCTGTGGAGCCAAAATGTTGAGAGCACCACTGTACTAGGTTGAACCCTGGAAGATCTCCCTTGCAAGAGGGTTTCTCTTGAAGAATGAATGCCTGTACACTGCGCCACTCTCCTCCCAATCCAGTCTGCTGTTCCCCCCTCTTCCCCAGACTGACGACTGCCAGCTGGGCATCACAGGCACCTATGGTAAGCTGGAGGCATGGGGACCCCAGCTTGGGGAAAGCCTGTGCCCAAGTAATAACTACTTGGCTTCCCATTGCTGCCCATGCCAGCCAGGTGAGTGTTGGAGGCTCAAACTGGACTGCATATTACAATGATTTAAAAGCCAGGGTCTGCCTGTAGACATCCTGCCCCCTTCCCAGGCTGCTAGTTAATGGGCTTCCCTAATGGTGGGGGTGGCCCAAGGAGCAGCCCCGAGGCAGGGGCTCAAATGTATGTATGCTTCAGCTCCTGGGCTATTTTTCTAGCCGTAAGAATTTCAGAGAAACTATTTTCACAAGAAATGAACACCTGTCTGTGGCCACAGTAATCAAATGAATACATAACCAAAAAGATACACAGTGTAACACCTCCCCTGAATCAAAGCAAAATCTTTTCAACTTAAATAAGTATAGTTTGCTATGCATTTGCATGAATAATGTAAACACTGTCCTAGATAATGCAATAACATCACTGTCCTAGACATGTTACCCTCTGTTCATCTGAAAAACATGTAAAATCTGCTCAATTTAGAAAAAGAAATTACAATTTCAGTACCTGTTAAAACAGGAATCACAACTTCTTTTTTTAGAATAGAGCATTTAAACTGGGGGAAGAAAATCAGTTCATTTAACAAACCACTAAATTATAAAGCACTACAAGATACATTCATTCATTCAAGTGTTTTTACTAACACAGAAATTCCATTAGATTAAATTTAGGACTTTGCTGTTTCAAAGTACATAAAGCTAGAACATGGAACTGCTCGTTTCAGTTTCATTTTCTCCATCCCTTTATGTTATTTTAGCAATAAAACACACAATATTAGCACAAGGTATTTATAACCCCTAATTTGCTCAGAAGTAAGAATCAGCCAACACACAGGGGCAGCAGTGACTTCCAGTTGCCCTCCCTTGACCTTCCTTGCCCCCAAACTCAAGGTAGCTGCTCCAGTCACTCTGCCCTAGTCGCCACTGCTTCTCTCCTTACACTAAGTGACTTGCTACTCAACACACTAAATCTGAAGGCTGTAGTCTAGAGTTATATTACCACTCTTCATTCATCAAAAAGTAACCAAAGCTCTCATTAACTTCATGAAATTGTTACTCTTCTCCTCATGACACAATGGAAATACTTTAATACTGTTGTTGGAATATTGTTTCTTTGTAAAACAGCCCATGAAACAACAGTATTCAACTATAAACAAAAATAAGAACTGCTTCCTACCAAAAGTGTTTACCTAGTAGGCCTCCAACAGCATACAACCTTTTTCTACCCCCCACTCCCAACAAATTAAGAGCATCACTTAAATGGTGTTTCCATTTCCTACCAAAACAGGAAGGAAATAAACAAAACCTTTGGTGAGCTTTGTTTATTTGGATTATAATAGGACAAAAGTCTTTTGTCCTTTACAGTACAAGCCTTACCTAGTAATTGCCTTGGGTTTGTGATCATTACAATATTTTATATTTTAATTGAATTGTGAAACTGAAAACTTGAAAATTTTACAATGAAGAAAATCATAATAAAAAAAAGTCAGGCATCACACTAAAAGCTACTAAATGTTCTTATATCTATAATTTCTTTCTTTTCTAGGTCCTTCATGCACCTATTAATCCCTGACTTCCTACTTGGTTCAACAACCCAGAATGCATATGCTGGTGGTGTCAAAAGGTTCTATGATCAGTGCCGAAACAGAAAACCTGCCTTTGGGAGGAAAAGACAGATCTGTTTTTATTCCATATGAAGCAGTTTTATGAATGTTAATATTCTTATTTTATCTTCTATAAAATAAGGATATTAAAAGCCTTTAGAAAAACTATTCAATATTAAATAAAAGTTGATTTACCTTTACCTCAAAGGTAGATACCCAGCACTGAAAAGTGATAGTAATATATCATTGACTTAGAATGGGCTGTGCTTTCTCAACAGTGCGAAGTGGGTAATCCTAAAACTGAAATTTTGCACATCCGTTAATGAAAAAGTACTTTATGTTGAAAAGCCTGATAATTAGGTTAATAGGGTAAGAACTATTTTTTCCTAAAAATGTTCCAAATTATATTTAATAGCTTGTTTTTAATCTCTACTGAAATAACATTGTATAACAGAATATTAATATTAATTTAATATAATTTCTTACAAGCAGAAAATTTTTATTCCTCAAAATTAATGCAGTTTACTATAACCTACTTTATCTTGGACATAACATAATAACATAGCATAATCTAATCCACTATCATAGACTAATCAATTTAAAAGTAACAAACCGTAATGAACTGGATTTTTCAAAGCTCTGATGTATAGGAAAGTTGATCTTATCCATTCCAAAGCTATATTCACATTTGTTATGGTATGCAGCACTATTTCCGCATTTAAATGCTCAACAAGATGTTTATGTAAACTAGTAAGAAATAAAATGAGCAAATTATAAATAGAATTTAAATATGCACTAATGGTATAAAAACCACCAACATTTATTTTTTGAACAATTATACAATGTATGTTATAGGAAATATTCCACTTGTTGCTGCTCTTTTTAAGGGACTTAATATGAAACCCCCCACAGTATTTAAATGTAATGTCTCAACAATTCAGCAGG